AGTTTCTAATACCTTTAGGATGACTAGTATCTTTATTTAATGTTATCGTTATATAGTGTTAATCAACTTCACACAATCCTGTTAACCAGGTAATCTAGATAGCTAACCGTTTATAGAGTAGCGCACTTTACGTACGTACGTACGTACGATCATTACTCACATGCAAGTTACATAATAAATTATGCACTGACAAATCAAATACCGATACAAATATCCTGAATTTATCCTTTAATGACTTGAACGAAGACTTAATCGGTCGACTATTGAATAGTCGTAAACCAAAGTTGCACAATGATGACTCTGTACAACAAGAACCCTGCAAGGCGAATTACGTTCCGTTATGTAATATAATATACAGTATACTTAAAATAGTGCAGTAATACACGATGATCTATAAAAGGTTTGTTTTTTGATACTTAATATGCATATATATACTACGTAATCTAAAAAAAGACAACTAGGAAAATCAATTTTCAATTAGATGCAAAGCCAAGAAACTGCTTTTTATTTTACTAATAAAAAGTTTTCATATTAAATTTATGATATTACCATAGCCCTCAAGTCTTACTTAACCTAGCTTAAAATTAATGCTAGGATCTTAAAAAAAAAAAAAGTGCATTAAAAAAGATACTACTCTTTAGCAATCCAAAATAAGTCATTAATGGTAATAATTTTTGCACTATGTAGTACTTGTATTACTATAATTGAAAACTGTCTAACTATAAAATTTTAACTATAAACTATGTTCTGATCAGTGCTTCATCATTTATTAATTAATACTGTAATATACGATAACCAATATGAATGATAATGATAATGCCCATTATTTATCAAGTGTATGTACGTACTTGCAAGGGACCATTATCGTGGTACCTTTCAGTACGATCAATCATATGTTTATGATTTTCGATATTTCGACATCGGAAATTGAATGAAAATGATCTCATGATCAATGGATTACTATTATTTGTCGCACTAATACATTCATATTTTTAATGTTTCTAAATATTGTGCGATTGATGTGCTAATAAACTTTTGTTGACACAATTTTTTTAAAAGAAATTTGACCTTAGCACCAGTAATTTAAGCATACTTAGAGGATAATTCCGGATTTAATTAAAAATAATTCGGATTTATCCGATTTACTTCGATTTAAATAGGACAAAAGTATCCAAATTTTAAGCATGAGACCGAGATGATTTCCTTTAATAGAATCAAACTGATCTTCATATAAATAAATAACATGGTAAAAAAGTTTATACTAAGATTTGTTCATCTTTATACATGAATCAACTAATGTTATACTTGGTATTACTATATGCGAGATATTACTCGCTATCTGCTGTAATTCATCGGGATTCCGAAAATAGTGATAAACCTAATGTTAATTGATCTTCGGAATAAAAGTATCATATAAATAACGATGATAATTATCATTACTATTGACTTTATTTGTATAAATTTACCTTTCACTGCTATTAAAATACCATTTTTCCATTAGTATAGAATTTATAAAATTATAATAGAAAGTGATTAGTTTTTTTCAAACATGGAAAAGTTTACAAAGTTTAAATTAAAGAATTCAAAAAAAAAGGAAACTTTGAAATCAGATAATTTAGATGAGATAACTAATCCTCTACTAGAAAAATTTAAAGTTTGTCATGGAAGAACATTCTTAAATAATAGTCTTGAATCAAATTATTATTTTCCTTGTGATAAAGAAACGATAGAAATAGGTGCTCTAGGACATTTAACGAGGAAACAATTATGGGATGGAAATTATTCTTCACCAACAGAAGAAAAATTATTGAGTGGTGCTACCGTTCTTGAAATTGGGTACATATATAATTAATTTTTTTTATTCTTAAAATTTATATCATATATTAATAATATTGCAAATAACGTTGTTTTTTTTTTTTTTACGTAAAGATGTGGCGGAGGTTACTGGACAGTCGAAATGGCATTAGATTATCCATCTTCAACTTTTGTGGGTATTGACATTAATTCAGATCTATTTCCATCCGATAACCAACGCCCTTCAAATGTAGGGTTTCTTGAATGTAATGTAATTCTTGGAATACCATTTCCTCTAAATACATTTGATTTCGTTTTCGTATGTAATATGTGGGCTGCATTTACTGAACCTCAATGGGATCAGTTAATTAAAGAAATTGTTAGAGTCCTTAAATATGATGGTTGGTTAGAAATGGTTGAAGGTGATCCAATGTTTAAAAATACTGGAAAGACACTTAAATCGATAGTTGAAGTTTGTATGTATAAATTTTAACCTTAATCTGCATCAATTTACCGATCAAAATAACATAAGAGCGTCATATGCAGATCGTCGTAGACAGTTACTAGGCATGTAAGTGAACAATAACTGCATTTTCATCAAAGACCTGTTAAATGCTATTCGGCCATTATCGCATCGACGGATAATTTTTCATTCATTGGCCAATAAACAAATAACTATATATTATTGTTCATTACACACGCCTAATAACTATATATTATTATTGCTTTACTTAATAACTTTGTCTAATTGGTAGCAGTTGAACCATTTTATAAAGAAAAGGGGATAAGTCCTGATGTTATTAATTTATTACCAAAATTTATTGAGCAAAACAATGAATTGACAGATTTTGGCTATAGTAAAGTAAATGCTCCATTAGGTGATTGGAATGGATACTTTGGTTTTGTTGTGAGTAATTAACAAACTATCTTATACTTTAACAAACATTAATAAACCTATTTATTAACCGAATTTTTTTATTTTTTATTTTTGTTAACACAGATGTTGAAAAGCGTACGAAAATTCATGGAAGAATTTGCATATATGCCGGATACAATAATAGTTTCTAAAGAGCAATTTCTTCGGATGCTTGATGATTTTGAAAAAGAAGCATGCGAAATTAAAACCTCAATGGATCTGTATAGGTTTTTTGCTAGAAAAGTTCAAATTAATTAATTCATTTAGGATATTACGTAATATGGATTTAGGGAGGCATAGTAAATTAGTATTACATAAACGTTTTGGGTATTACGTGCATGATCCTTCATAATGGCTATTACATTATATATAAAATATAATATATGTTTTTTTATACCTATTATTCAATCATACCCATACATGGATATATGTATTGGTAGAGTTCTTAGGTAAAAAATATTACGTGATCCTCTTATTATTATTAATAAACTGCATGCGCCGTTTAAATTATGCAATCTTCAACCTTAAATGTGTTAAAAAAAGTAAATCTAGTATGGTTTATATAATTAAAGTTTGGGACCGGATTTTTTTTTAAAAAATAGACGTTCGTGTGTATTTACATGCCTACGTACCATGTACGTACATACGTACGTACGTATTAAATAAACTGATTATCAATTATACGCATATTTATCGGTTATTATTAATATATCTAGTCAACCGATTATTAATAAGAGTGGGCATCTTATAACTTGACGTACGTACGTACGACGTAACTCATGTGGTTTAACAAATCTGATGAGTATTGTGAGTAGCTTTCATATGAAAATCACACCTAAGGATAGGAATCGATCAGAAATTTTTAGTCGATTAGTCATTCGACTAAATCCGTTAGTCGTCGACTGACTAAAAATAGAATAATCGATTAGTCGACCAATCGACTAATTGACTAGTCAACTAATCCGAATAATCAACTAATCTGTTATTTAGATATTATATGAACAATAGTTAACCAATTAAATTTGTCTATTAAGTTTGATTAATTACGTATAATAACTATTATTCGATTATCTGATTAGTCGATTAGTCAACTATCGATTAGTCGGTCGACGATTATAAAAAAATCTAGTCGATTAGTCGACTATGATTCCTATATTTACTACTAAAGATCATTGGGTCAGAAAACATTCAGCTTACGAAATCTTGGAATATTGGCATTCTAATTTGCTAGTATGTCCTGTCGACAGAAGATATGACATACTTTGTAGTTTACATCAAAGATGTCTTCAAACATATTGGTTTTTCGAAACTATAGGATGCAGCAGTAATTTAAAATTTATATTAAAAAACAAATTTATTATAACTTATATCTATATTAATTGGTTGTGCAATAAAAGATGAAGTTCCAAATAAATTCGAATTTACAAAAAGAAAATAATCATTCATCATCATGTAAAGTAATTCAAGGGTAGTTATATTGTTTTCGATGATTTTGGCTTAAATGAATGCTAGATTCGAAATATTAATTTAAATCCAAAATCATCAAAGAAGTAGGGATTAGAACCGTTTAACCGCATAAAAATTTTTTTTATAGTGCCGGGCCGAATTACGTAGTTCATAGGCCAGGACAATTTTAATACCGGCTGAATTAAACGGTTAAGAAAATTTTAGGCGGTTCCAATCCCTACAAAGAAGGCACATCTGTTTTCGAGATATCACATTATCTGATAACGCATTCATTGTGAAATCGGAAATGAATAGCTGTTAATATCACATATCAATGCAATGAATTGTAGCATCCGGTTTGACCCAAAAATTCATTGAAAAAGTTTAATTATTAGCTGTTCTTAAATTACTGAAACATTCGGGATAATATAATTTACTGATTCATTCGTTCCTGGTCAACGTAGTTGCGCAGCTACTTATTATGTAAACTTAACATTGATGTTACCGCAAGAATACTTAATGTAAAATTTTCAGAGAGCTAAACTCGCTATGATAATATCGTAAATTCAGCTTTCATTTTCTAAGACTGGTTTGAAATTACAATTTCGTTTAACGTTCTCCTTCCCTCCACTAGAGTGTCCAGAATTCTACGGTGCATAATCTTTTCATTCTAAAATATTTTTGTCCATTGTCTCCACAAGATAAACGTGACTTACTCATTTTTTAAATTCAAACACAATGTAAAAAAGTATTTTTAGCATGAGCAGATTTATGCACCGCAGAATTCTGGACCTCTCCTCCACTCTCCACCCAGTGTTGGAAATTCAAAAAAAAAAAAATAATGATTTCTGTGAACATAATTTCTTTTTATAATGTTCACATTAAAAATAAATATGTTTACTATAGATTTTTTATAGATAATTTAATATTCGGGCATCAGTTAGAGAAAGAAGTAATAGATTTGTAATTATCTTGACATATCATAATTATTACAGTAGTATCGATTTAAAATCAACTTAAGTTGCTATTAAGTTTATCGATTATATGGACTAGGTGCTACAGTAAAGGATTTGATTAGTGTAAAAAAAAAAATTGTCAATTTCCCCTTTTTCTGTAGCACTCTGCTCATATAGTATCAAATATAGAATCAACTTAAGTTGCTTTTAAATTTCATATCAACTTGGACTATATTTGGAATTTTGTTCCAACCTAAGCGGATTCTAAGTCTACAATTAATTTCGTTCTGATGTACAACATATACCCCTCTTTTTTGGTATTATCTGTGCTGATTTGTTCAATAAACAATCACTTCGATTCAGCCAATAAGTGTTTTGATTATTTATTATGAAATAATCAATTATAAATTTCTTATATGTACATATATATATAGTTATAAATCACTACTTACTAAGCTTTTTATTTAAATTCATTTAATTTTAAATTTTAATTCTTATCTGAATTTTTAAGTTGTAGGCCATCAGCATCCTATTTGCACTTGTAATACTAAAAATACGATCTTTCTATTAATAAATTATGAGCAAGAAAATTTAAAATTTAAAATTTATGTTCACATTATGTGAACATAAAATATAAAACTTTTGATTTCTTATGTTCACACTATGTGAACATAAAATATAAAACTTGATTTTTTTCAAAAATTTATGTTCACTATGAACATTATGAACATATTA